AAGAAAAACAGCGAGCCCTGCCACCTGGGTGCCGGTAGGCAGCCCCAACCCCTGTAGACATGTGGCCTTAGCTAGGGATAAATTTGGAACTTGTAAGCCGCTCAGAGACCCTTCAGGGTTGGAGCGGGGTAGAAATCGAATATATAAATGAATAAATAAATATTACATGCCATCTTGCCCTGTGCTGGAGTTTTCCATTCTGCCTTAACCACACTTTAGAGTAATTCTGGGAAAGAGATACTTAGTGGCTTTGCCTGGAAAACAGTTCTACTAGTTCCTTCTCTGCAGTCTTCAGTCAATTTTGGCCAGAATCTTGGAAAAAACACTCTGAAAGTAAAAGCCATGCTCTTTCGGCACCCTCCATAGAGGCGTTGCCTGACAATTTCCCTTCTTCCAGCTTTGAGCAACCCTCAGTGTGCTGCAAAATGGCTTGATCCACAGAGGGGGTAGAAGCTTGGAATCCTAGCTGAATGAGATCATGCCCCAAGTTGCTGGATTGTATGAGCTGAATGGGTTAGAACACCTACGGGGGAAACCGTTGGTCCCCTTGGTATAGGACCAGGATCCTCCTCCCTGGCCTCTTTTCCAAACAACTACTGTTTCTGTTCTTGTACTTCTTGACTACCTTGTGCTAGCTTTTAAGTGGTGCCAAGGCTAGCCTATGAGTGCCGCCTGCCTGGATACAATACCTACAATCAGGGGTCATTTCCTGCAGGAGCGCACAGGAGCGGAGCTCCAGCAGTAAAGAGCCCAGGGGGCGGGCACATGCAACAAGCCCCACCCCCTGCTCCCAGCAGCCCTCAGTCAGAGCAAGAAGCGGTCAGATATGTTGCAGAGTTCCCCCTGGCCCCCAGTCCGAAACAGTCCACTGGCACCTTTAAGACCAAGTTTTATTCAGGTACAAGTTCTCCCTCCTTTGCAGATCTGCACTCCCCCCCCCCAATAACTAGCAATCCAAAACAGTCCAGTGGAGCTTGAGCGGTGGGTGTTGCCTTCTGACACACTTCCGGTGATGTCGGGGTGGGGCATATGCAAATAAGTTATGCTAATGAGCTCCTGCACCTCTTTTTATACGAAATGACCCCTGCTTAACAGCATTTATTTACTACCATTTGGAAGATACTAAGTTGGATCCAGTGCAGCATTTCTGAGGACACGACTTCCCCCTGAGGATTGAGACTTATGTGGTTTTCTGCTCCTGCAGCAGCTCAAAGTGCCCCCCTGGAATCCTGTTCTTGGGCTTCTCTCTCCTAAGAATAGGATTCTGGGGATGGCATTATGGGTTGGTGCAAGAGGGGGGACTGCATAATTTGCACTCCGTGACCATTTCTAGCAATCCAACATGGCAGCACGTGAGGAGCCCCTTTGCTAGAGCTCCTTGCGTCGAAGACCACTAGCAGACTTAAAAAGCAATACTAACCACCTGGACTACAGTAGAGTATTTGTAAACTTCTACAGACTAACTTGGACTGATGTGCAGCTCAAAAGAACAACGGTGCAGTGTGTCCTACAGTCCCATCCGGCGCGACTTCCACCTTGATTTCCAGTGCCTGCAAGTCAGTCTGGTCGCCACAGAGGGAGCCAACCGAGCCTAGGCACTGCATAAGGACTTCATCGATGTCTCGCCACTGCACAGTGGCTGCCAGTCAATGCTTGTCTTCCTCGCTTGGGGCAGCTGCCATCTTGGGTCTGTTGACAAAGCCCTTGGGGCCCATGGATGCCTGCAACTGGGAAGCCCAGTGAGGGTCTCTACCCCCCTTGGGATCTGCCCAGTACAGTTAATCGTCATTGGGTTGCTGAGGGCTCTGTACCTGCAGCTGCAATTACCGCTGAGTAACCTGAACTGCTCCATTGACCCTACTATTCAGTTGTGCATGGGGGACCCAATATTAGGATGTGTAGGATCAAAATAAGGGCTCACCACCAGCAAGACAGTGGAAGAAGATCTGGAGGACACGGAAGCTACAGAGGTCCTGCTGTTGCTGTAGCCACGCAAGTACTCAAGCCAGAAAGATGACTGGATTGCTGCCTGCAAAAGACCTTACCTACAGACTAGATTGTTGAGCTATGTAGAGCTCCTAGCCTAGAGAAATATTATTCTTATTCTATGTAATTAAATTGGATTGGTATGTTTAGTAATATAAGAAACTAGAAAGAAAGCTCATTGTAGACGCAAGACAACGGGCGCTAGAAGGAAAGAAAGACAGAGAGAGAGACAGAAAGAGAAAGACGGAGAGAGAGAGAGAGAAAGACAGTAAGAATGAGAGAGTAAGGAAGCAAGGGGGTGAAGAAAAGAGGATGAAGAAAGAGGGAGGGAAAGAAGGAGCGAGAGAAGACAAAGAGATGCTTGGAAGATAAAGGGGGAGGTGTGGGAAGCCTTTCCGTGGCCGTCCGCCTCGCTGGGTGGGCTGGGAAAGACAGACGGGGGCCTGAGTAGGCCTTTCCCTGCCTGTCCGGCTTAACGGGTGAGGGGGGAAGGCGGATGGGGCCTGTGGAGGCCTTTCTCTGGGGGAAGCCTTTCCGTGGCCGTCCGCCTCGCTGGGTGGGCTGGGAAAGACAGACGGGGGCCTGAGTAGGCCTTTCCCTGCCTGTCCGGCTTAACGGGTGAGGGGGGAAGGCGGATGGGGCCTGTGGAGGCCTTTCTCTGCCCGTCCGGCTTGGCGGGCAGGCAGGGAAAGGTGGCGCGGGGCCTGTGGAAGCTTTCTCCGTCCGTCCGGCTCACCCGGCAGGCAGGGAAAGGGGGCGCGGGGCCTGTGGAAGCCTTTCCCTGTCCGTCCGGCTTGCCGGGCGGGCAGGCAAAGGCAGCGTGGGGCCTGTGGAGGCTTTCCCCTGGCTTACCCTGCAGACGGTACCGTCCTGTCCAAGGACCAGAGCAGAGTGAGCCGAAGACGCTGGCCGGGGCTGACGTGGGTGGGACTCCACAAAGCAGCCAGCCAACCCAGCCAGCGTCTTGTGACTGGCAGTTCATGCGGCCAACCTATTTTGGCGAGCATCGAACGTTGGGGAAAAAAAAATTATATATAAGGACAGGAATGAATTAGGTATGTTTAATAATATAAGCTAATTTTTTGTTGTAATATGAGTTAATTTCCAATTAATTAGAGTTTGATTAATTTCCAATTAATTAGGGTTGATTATATTAGTGAAATGAATGAATTGTCCTGTTTAACGGATGAATTTAACTATCAGAGTACTGATTTTTTTGCTAAATTTAGTATAGAATTAATTGTTTGCCAATTGCAAATATTGATTTTTGTATGTTTATGGGATTTTGGGAACTTAAGTAAAGGTAAAGGTTCCCTTGCTCGAAAGCCAGTCGAATCCTACTCTAGGGTTGCAGTGCTCATCTCCATTTCAAAGCCGAAGAGCCAGCGCTGTCCGAAGACGTTTCCGTGGTCATGTGGCCGGCATGACCTTACTCTCTCATTCTTACTGTCTTTCTCTCTCTCTCTCTCCGTCTTTCTCTTTCTGTCTCTCTTAGGTGAACTTAGGTGGTTGTAAATTAGTTATCACTGGCCTTTATTAAATTTACTGGCCAGTGAAGGGGATTTTATGTGGCAATCAAATTAGATAGCTATAGGCTAAATTCTTGTGTTACAACCAAAGACAGGCTTGAATGTAAGGGCAATTAAAGTAAGATAAGGGCACAGCAATCCTGTAGTAATTATTAGAGTTGTTAATTAACTACTAGTAGCCATACACACAGGATTCAGCATCTTCAGTCATCCTTATAGTCGGTCTGCGGCTCTTTGCAAAGACCATAACTGTAGCAAGATGACTGGGCTAGGGAGTCCAGTGCTCCTGGGGAGGGGAAAGTATAGCGGTGGGACTAGGCATGGTTATAAAAGAAGGGGATTGAGAAATAAATTAGCTCAATCCTCTTCCAGCCTACATATCATTCCAAAGGCTGCTGGCAGTGGGGCTAGGATTAATGCCCCCTCTCCAACATTGGTGTTTTGTAACGCCAGGCCTGTAAATAATAAGACCATGGTCCTTCGGGACTTCCTGCAGGAGCAGGGTGCAGACCTGGTGTGCATGACTGAGATCTGGGTGCGAGACGGGGAGGCAGTTGCTCTCTCCCAATTAGCTCCTCCCAGGTTTTCAGTCCTCCACCAATCACAGACTAGTGGGCAGGGGGAGGAGTGGCCCTATTCATTTGGGAGGCTTACTCCTTCAGGGCGCTCCCGCCGCCAAAGATCACCAGCATAGGTTGCACTGGCCTGCTGTGGGAGTCTGGGGAGAGTTTGGCCATTTGGTTGGTGTACCCAACAGCCCAACACACCAGCCAATGCCCTACCACCCCTGGTGGAGGCCATGTCTGGCTGGGCATTGGAGCACCCTAGGCTGAGAGTCTTGGATTACTTCAATGTCCATGCCGACGATGTGGCTTCCAGACAGGTGGCGGACCTGGTGTCATCCATGGTGGCACTGGGACTCTCCCAATATGTAATGGCTACCACTCACCAGGCGGGGCACATACTGGATTTGATCTTTGCGGCTGGAGTTACGGTGGACTGGATCACCGTTACAGCAGTGCCATGCCCTGAAGGCCTGGGTGAATGTCCCACCCCAATCTGGTTTGGGCAGTGAGCATATTTTAGCTCTCCCGTGGAGCCAAATGGACCCCATGAGGCTTCAGGTGGCTCTGCGGGATCCTATGCTCCCTGGCGGCTTGTTGAATGAGCTTGTGGAGAACTGGCACAGCCGACTCCCCGCAGCCATCGATGAGATCGCTCCCTGGTGCCCTCTGCACCCCCATGCCAGGCTGGCTCCATGGTTTACCCCAGAGTTGTGGCTGATGAAGCAGAGGCTAAGATGGCTAGAGAGACAGTGGTGGCGTGTCCACAACCAAGTGACAAGAACATTTTATAGGTCGTTTATGAGGATCTATGAGATGGCAGTCAAGGCTGCAAAGAGTATTATGCAGCCACAGTTGCATCTGCAAGCTCTCACCCAGCCCAATTATTTAGAATGATTCGGTCTCTAACAACTCTGCCTCAGAGCAGAACAAATGTTAGGGGATTGGATATTGGTTGCGAGGCTTTTGTGAGCTTTTTCTCAGATGAAGCCCTTTTGCTCTGCCGTGACCTCCCTGCCACAGTTGAGACAATGAGTGAACTCGAGGCTCCATGCATGTCTTCTAGTCTAGTTATGGACTGATTTGACCAGCTCAGCCTAGAGGAAGTTGACAGAATACTCATAACTGTACACCCCACCACCTGCAGTCTTGACCTAGGCCCATCGTGGCTGATGAAAGCAAGCCGTGATGGGATACGATCAATGCTCCCTCTAAGCTGTGCAGTCTTGTGAGCAAAAATTCTACTTTGTGAGCTACTGGCATTAAAGTTGTGAGTGAGCGATTTGGCTACAGCATAAATTAGTTTGCTCTGGAGCCACCCTTCCTGAGCTAAGACAAAAAAGTGTGAGTCAGAGGCTAAAAACTGTGAGCTAGCCCACACTAACTCACCTTAGAGGGAATACTGGATACGAGGTTCCCTACGGGAAACTGTCAACAAGGCCCTCTCTGAGTGATCCGCCCTCTCCTAAAGAAGCCATCCTTGGATCCGGCAGAATTGACCAACTACTGGCCGGTTTCCAATTTGCCCTATCTGGGCAAGATAATTGAGAGGGCAGTGGCTAAACAGTTACAGGGTTTTGTGGATGACATTTCCATATGAGACCCCTTCCAGTCCGGCTTTCATCCAGGCCATGGCACGGAGACAGTACTGGTCACCCTCACGGATGATGGATGACATCTGGACTGAGGTGGGATGGCGGTACTGCTGTTGTTAGACCTGTCAGCTGTGTTCGACATGCTCGACTATCAGTTACTGATCCACCGCCTTGCCAATACTGGAATTCAGGGGCTCGCCTTACAATGGCTTGCCTACTCCTTCCAGGGTCGGGGACAAAGGGTGGTGCTTGGGGAAGAACTGTCCGGAAGGCATCTGCTGACCTGCGGAGTGCCTCAAGGGGCGGTCCTATTCCTGATAGTATTTAATATCTACATGCGCTCCCTTGCCCAGATTGGTCGGAGCTATGGACTGGGCTGTCACCAGTATGCTGATGACATCCAGCTATATCTGTTGTTGGCAACCAGTCAGACTCCAGGCTGGAAGACCTGGACCTGGTGTTACTAGCTGTGGCTGGATGGCTGAAACTGTGGCTGAGCCGGCTGAAACTGAATCTGACTAAGATGGAGTTTCTGTGCCTAAGTCGGAGTGGTCCAAGGGTAGGGATCCCACTCCTGACCTTTGATGGGGCACAGTTGGTGCCAGTGCCGGAGGTTAGGAGCTTGGGAGTGCTCTTGGTGGACACCTCCCTGACGATGGAGGCCCAGGTAGCAGCTACTGCCAAGTCGGCCTTTTACCATCTGCAGCTGATCAGACAGTTGGCTTCCTTCCGCGAATGTGGCGACTTGTCAGTGGTAATCCGTGCAGTGGTCACCTCGAAATTGGAGTACTGTCATGCTTTCTACATGGGGCTGCCCTTGTCACAAATTCAGAAGCTGCAACTGGTACAAAATGTGGCAGCCGGGCTGTTGCTGGGTCTCTCTCTGAGAGAACACATCCAGCCTGTGCTGAAAGCGTTGCACTGGCTGCCTGTAGCATACCGAATTTGCTTCAAGGTGCTGGTTCTTATCTATAAAGCCCTTTATGGTCAGGGAGCAGCATACCTGAGGGACTGCCTTTCCCCACATGTTCCCCAGAAAGCACTGTGTTCTGGGACACAAAACCACCTGGTTCTCCCTGGCCCTAAAGAGGCCAGACTGGCCATCACCAGGGCTACAGCCTTCTCTGTGGCAGCGCCACGCTGGTGGAATGAGCTCCCAGAGGACACCAGGGCCCTGTGGAGCTTGCTACAGTTCTACAGGGCCTGCAAGATGGAGCTCTTACACCAGACATTTGACCACATCTAACATCTGGTACAACAGGTGTATCTGATTATAACATCAGAGCCTTCCCTGGGACCTTGCCACCATCATTGTTGCATTGACTGACTCCTGTTACAAAATATTGGATATGGCAATATTGGAACATGTTTGCCGTGGCATAGGAAAACTTGAATGTATAGCACTTTAGTTTTTATATTGGTTTTAAATTGTTCTAAAACTTTTTTTTTTAATTATGTAAGCTGCCCTGAGCCTGCTTCAGCGGGGAGGGCAGGGTATAATTCCAATAAATAAATAAATGACGAGAGGTCCTTGTATATACATAAACAATGTGCTAGATCCACCCCCCCCCCCAACTTTTATATTGCCCCACACACACACCATTATTGGGAATAATGGGTTTAAGGAATGGCAAATCTTGGACAGTATTGCTTTCACTCTGATCTTACCCAGATAGAGAATCTTAGGAATGATTTGTCTTTAAAAGCAGAATATTTCAAACTTTCTGTGGGTGATGGATATAGAAACCTGCATGCCTATGATTGTAGTATAAAAAACAGAATAGGCCATCCAAATGATACAGCTGCTAACTCTGTTTCTGGTGCTCAGACAGGTTGTGGTTCCTGATAATCAGAGCACAGTGGCTCTTTACTCAGTTTATATTTTGTCATAATACTCAGTTCTGCTTTTTTTCTCTGGGTACCTGTTGCCTTTATAGCTTTGGGTCCTCTGTCTTCCCATATGTACCAAAAAATTCATTATTATTTTTCCTCACGACATGGAATGTTCACTATTACATGGGTTAGGAGTGCTGTTATGTCTTTCAGTACATATATGCTTGTAGTGAATCTTTCTGGAACATTATCACTTCTTCATATTGATCCCATGGCCCTTTTATCTGTAGGACAAAATTCAAAAACTGTATGAGAGGAAGATAAAAGAAGGCATGGACATGAACTATATCATCCAAAGGAAAAAAGAGTTTCGCAATCCTAGGTAAGAGTTGCTTTGGAACAACTGCATTGCTTATTACCAAATGCAAGACTGGTGAATAGTAAGTGTCCTAGCTGCATTGTAATAAAATGTCAAACCTTGCTTCGCTTCACATAGTTTGCCATAGACACTGTGGGGAGGGGAATTCCTTAGGTGAGGAGAGTGAGTGCAGGGTGTATGAATGCTCCATCTTAGACGGCAGAACGTTTTCCTGAAGATGCGCCTCTCCACGGTTCACATGGAGACATCCTTGAAGCTTTCAGTGCCAGCTTGGGCAGTAGATAAAGGAATCGTATATTCCCACGAGAATGGGGTAGAGATGCGGGAGCCTGGCTGTATGATGTGATGTATGTGTGGGCCTTAGGAGGGGTGACAGTTTGAACTTGTTATATCTATGCATGTACCCACCAAAATGCCTCAGAACTTACAGTACTGTTCATGCCTGGAACCTGTTTAACTCAATAAAGCAGTGAATGGAAGATTTGTATCCACTTACCGTGAAGCTTCCTTTCTCGGTGGTCCGGGAGTGGGGCAGTCCTTACTCTTGGGAATAGGCTCCTCCTCTGGAACAGGGTTGGTTTCCTCATATCAGTCCAGGAAGGGGAGGGGCTTGTCCCCTGGGAACATCCCAGTCTTACCGGTCCTGCTGCTTGAGCAGGACGTGTTTCACAGATTCTCTGTAAAGCGCAGCGATCCAGGAATGAGAAGAAGAGCGGGAGAAGGGAGAGACCCTCGCTCTTCATTATTTCGAGCCGCAGCCGGTGGCAGACCGCAAATGAAGCCGATGGCACTGGGAGATCTCCAGCAGCCAAGGCTGTGTACGCAGACCCCCACCGGGCCCAGCCTGTGGCTAGAGGTCGCCTCCCCAACCAATGCACATCAGGGGAAGCGACTGCGTCTGCAAGGAGACCAGGGCAACGCTGTGGACCCAGCAAACTCCCCTGTCTCAGAGGACCTGGCATGCGATGGAGCAGACAAGCTGGAAGCCTCTAACCCTCACCAGAATTATGGTAAATCCTTACAAGGCCAAAAAAACTAGACTGGAGGTGAAGGAGGGCAGGGTGGTAGTCTGGGGAAAATCCCCAAGCAACCCCCCAAGCTATTCAGGGAGGATGAAAAGAAATTGTTTCCTGGGCCTTCCAACCTCCCCAACCTGGGAGAGGCTGGAGTGGATTAAAGAGCCCTTCCCCCCTTCCTTTTTCCCCATTCAGAGGGAAAGTTCCCATGGAACAGACAGGGAGCTAGAAGGCCCAGGGAAGGCCATAGAAGGGCGGAGAAAATGGTGGTGGCCATCTTGGTTCTCTGGACCCTCACGGCAGACTTAGTTTCGCTTTCACTCCCAGGCAAGCAAATAGAAAATGGCTGATAGTCAGATCTGCCAATTCCCATAGAAAATGGCTGCCAGTCATACCTGCCAGTTCCCTGTTCCCAGAGCTGGATAGCCGAAGCTAGTTTGATCTGTTGAGATCTCAGAAGCTAAGCAGAGTCAGCCCTGATTAGTACGTGGAAGGGAGACCACCAAGGAAGTCCAGGGTCACAACGCTGAGGCAGGCAAGGGCAGTGGCTCTGGCCTGGATGGCCCAAGCTAACCCGGTTTGATCAGATCTTGGAAGTTAAGCAGGGTCTAGCTGTCTCTTGCTTTGAAAACCATATGGGGCTGCTGTTCGATAACACTTCCACCACCTCCACTGTTTGTCAGAGAGGCTATAAAAGATTTGTTCTGGGGAGTACACAGCAAGTCAGATCTGTTCAGATCATAAGCTTCAGAGTCCCCGCAAGACTCTGTGGAGAACCAGGAAACAGAGGCAGCAAGGATAGCTCAGGATAGCGTGAGCTCGTCAAATAAGCATGGTCAGCCCTCGTCGGTATTTGGATGGGAGACCACCAAACAATGCCAGAGGCATGACACAGAGGTCGGCAAGGCAAACCATCTCTGGACATCTGATTGAAAACCCCAAGGGGTCACCATAAGTGGGCTGCGACTTGATGCCTGCAAAAAGTCCACGAAGGACTCAGACTCCCCAGTTCCATCCTCAGATAGGGCAGAATGGGAATGGTCAGAGGAAGGAGAGGGAGTAGTACCAACAGTACAGTCCTGGCTATTCCCTCAAGAGCTGTATATGAGATTACTTTCCAAGTACTTAGAATTTCCTCCAGACTTAAGGGAAATGATGGTTTTGACCCAGAACTTCTAGTGGAATCTAGCCAGAGAATGTACAAACTGGCAGTACCACAAGCAGAGATGCCAGCCCTGACCTGGATGGCCCAGGCTCGACCACACTTGTCAGATCTCAGAAGTTAAGCAGGGTCAGTCCTGGTTAGTACTTGGATGGGAGACAACCAAGGAAATCCAGGGTTGCTATGCTGAGGCAGGCAATGGCAAGCCTCTAACTGCCCGCAGCCTTTTATAGTAGGATGAAGGCAGAGTGGGAACACCATTCCAAGCTAAAACCTAACCTCTCAGATGGTTTCCCCCCACACACGCTTTATTCCCTGATCCCAGAGGCTACCAAGAGACTCAAGGTGCCAATGGTGGATGAACCTGGGACTAGCTTGACCTCCAACTCAGTTCTACCTATGGATGCAGATAGGTTGTCCAAGACCCCAGCGATAGGGGATTTCAGCGAGCCTTATGCAAAGACTTTGAAGTCCCAGCCTGCCCCATCAGGACATCAACAGCAAGCTCGATGTTTGCCAGGGCGGCACATTCTTGGGCATCAGGACTAGCCTCAGCTGATAGTGGAGTCCCACAAGAACTTATAGACAAACTTAAGAAGGTTGCCGTAGCGACAGTGATTATGGCAGGTACTTCACTGGACATCCTGCAGCAGTTAACTAGAGCCATGGAGCAGCCAGAAGGAACATGTGGCTCAGAATTAGGATGGGGACTCTGCAGCACAAGCTAAAGCAGTTCCCTTCAAGGGCATAAACCTCTTCAGAGAGGGACTCGACAGATAGCTTATTGAAGATAAAGACGTGTTCTATGTTCAAAAGACAAAAACAGACAAACAAACTTCTCAGTCCTGTTGTGACTCCAAAAGGATATCATGCCCAGAGCCAAAGAAGGATAAGGATGCCAGGAAAATCTTGGACCTGAAGTGGCTAAACAACTGCATCAGGACTAGAATGTTCAGGATGAAAACGCTGAACTCCATTCTGGCAGAGGTGCAAGCAAAGGATTTCCTGGCATCCATCGATCTATAGGAGGAACGTTTACACATCCCAGTTCAAAAGGCTCACTGCAGGTTCCTACGCTTTGCGTATGATGGGAAACACTTCAGTACCAGTGTTGCCTTTCTGCCTGAAGTCATTCCCAAGAGGGTTCAACAAGTTTATGGTGGCTATTGTAACACATCTGAGACTTCAGGGAGTGTTGCTGTCACCATCTCTAGATGACATCCTTGTCAAGGCCCCTTCTTACCAGCAGAGCCGGGAAGCATCAGAGATGGTGGTGAAATTATTATTATTATTTTGAGAGACCATGCCTTCGTGGTCAACATGGAGAAGGACACTCTAAATGCCTCTCAATCATGGGTACACCTGGGGGTGCAGATAGGCACCTGGGAGAGACAACACAACATACAACTTCTGACCATAGACAGGCTGAAAAAATGCAAGATAGAGGGTATGGTACTGGCCAAGCTTCTAAGCATGGTGGTGTCAAGTCATGAAGTGCTTCAATGGTCAAAGTTCCACGCCGGACCTCTACAGACATTTCCCCTTACCTTACCAGGATGTGGTGGCCAGTTAAGGCTACAAGCTGGTACAGTTACCAAAACAACTTCAGCATTAGCTGCAGTGGTGGCTGGAACCCTTTTATTTCCAATGGGGATCCCCAATCTGAAATCTAAAGAGGATGCCAGGGTGGAGAACCCACTCTCAAGGGACAATGACACAAGGAGTTTGGTCTCAGTAAGAGTCCTCACTGAGTATAACATTTTTAGAACTCAGAGCCACCAGGCTGGGGCTCTTGGAATTCTCCAAGATACTAACAGGTCATCATGTTCTAGTCCAGACAGACAATATGACAACAAAGGCATAAGGAACCAGATTTCGGACCTTACACAGAGAAGCAAGCGACCTGATCAGATGGGCGGAGATCCAGCTACAGTAATTGGAGGTGGTCCATGTGGCAGGCCAGGACAGTGCATTGACAAACTGGCTGAGTATATATGATTAGACCAGTCCGTTTGTATGCTCTGAAAGTTGGGTTTTCAACAGGTCTGCAAAAGGTACAGGATGATGGAAATGAACTTCTTTACCACAGACCAGAATCATCAATTTCCATGTTTCATAACCAGAGTTGAAAACCAGCAGGCAACAGGAACAGATGTTCTGAACTGCGACTGACCACAGGGATGACTGTACATGTTCCAACTGACTTAATTGTTTCACAAGGTGATTCAGAAGCTGTTGGAACAGAAGGCGGAATTAGTGTTGATGGCACTCTTTTGGCCATAAAGAGCTTGGTTCCAGGATCTGAAGAGATTGTCAACCATGGAACCATGGTGCCTACCACTGGGAAAGGACTTCTTGACACTAGGATCAGCACAACACCCTCGCCCAGCCCTCCTGAACCTAACAGCCTGGAGGTCGAGCAGAAACAACTAGAAGGGTTGAGTTACCCTTCCAGGGTGACAGACACCATATTAATTTTCTAGGAAGAGCTCCACAGATAGGGTGTATAACACAACCTGGCAGGTTCTTCACTCTTGGTGTTCAGAATGTGATTGGGAACCATTAAATGCATCAGTTAGGGGTGTCTTAGTTTTCTCCAAGTTGGTTTGGATAGAGGGCTAAGTGTGAGTACATAAAAGGGACAGGTGGCAGCCATATCGGCTAGGAAGGGAAGTCCCTTAAATTGCCATCCACACGTTAAGAGATTCCTAAGGGAGGTTTATGACTTGGAACCTACATAGGGTCCTGAGAGCATTGTGTAGAAAACCTTTCAACCCATGGAGTCTCAAGGAATTAACATTCAAGACCTTGTTTTTAGCAGGTGTAATATCAGTTAGGCGGGTGTCGGAACTGAGGACCCTGTCAGTTGACAGGGAACTTAATGTTTTCCACAATGATGGGATGATGTTACACTCAGATCAAGCCTTCATTCCTAAGGTTACTCCAGTTCTTTCACAAGTCAGAGATCATTGTCTTACCTTCCTTTGTCCCAGTCATAGGCTTGACAAGGAAGGGGAATGGCATTGCCTAGATGTCCATAGGGTATTCAATTTTTATGTTGACAGGCTAAGCATTGGCATGATTCAGATACCCTATTTGTTTCCTTTAGGATATTTTCCTTAGGTCAACTGGTATTGCTTTTTACCTTGAGTAGGTGGTTTTAGGGGTGGCATCATTGTTGCATGCAAGGCTCAGGGGCTGAATCCACCCAAAGGTGTTGCAGCATATTCTCTGTGGGGGGGCTGCAACGTCAGCAGTTTACAGATCATTTCCCATCCTTGGAGACGGTAGGTATGGTGGCCACCTGGAAGTCTGTGCACTCTATTGAGTAGAGTGCTATAGAGTAGAGAAGCTGACCTTGGCTGTGGTGGTTTTTCATTGGGGTGTGCTGCAGCACACTATAAACCAGAAGCTGGATTTCCCACCCTGGGGCACACTGCTATTTTATGTCCCAAGAGTAAGGACTGCCCCAATCCCAGGACCATCGGAGAATGGAAGATTTGTATTCACTTACCATGAAGCTTTCTTTCTCGGTGGTCTGGGAGTGGGGCAGTCCTACCCACCCAGTTTTGGGGGGCAGCTTCCGGAGGTTATTTTGGATGAGCATTTATGAAGTTTCTCTGAGATGCTAAAACAAAACATTGTGAGTTAATTGGGTGAGAGAGCAACAGAGGGTTTCAACCTTGGCCTACACCTGCTGGAGGGGCATAAACTTACAAGGCTGGTTGACCTGAAAATTGAGTTTCACTATGGTGGGGAAAAGTGTTTTTCTTTTCCTTAGTGTGATGTTAGGGGATGCACGGCTTGGAGACGACTGGGATGTTCCCAGGGGACAGGCCCCTCCCCTTCCTGGATTGATCTGAGGAAACTGACCCTGTTCCAGAGGAGGAGCCTATTCCCGAGAGTAAGGACTGCCCCACTCCCGGACCACCGAGAAAGGAAGCTTCACAGTAAGTGGATACAAATCTTCCATTCACTGCCAAAGAGAGTAACTTGACCAGGGAGTCTGGCATAAAACCACTAAGACAATATGGGTAAATGTTTTTAGCCCTCATAGTAGTTCATAGTTATGCAGATAAACTTAACATTGTGATGGGAACTCATACTGAAGTCTCAGGACCCAAATTGGATTACATTAAAGTTCTTGAAATGTCTGTGGAACGTTGTGATTTTTTTGAAGTGCTGGTGCTGTTTTGGTTTTGGATGGCGCTATCTCAGTAGGTGTAACATGTCTATCATCTGTGGCATAACACAAGCTATAGTCATGTAAAATTTGTCCTTTATACATCATAGAAATATGCAAACAAGTTGGGAGTCCTGAATTTCCTATTCATATCAATGTGATATTAAACTATGGATACTTACAGCTGATTAACTTCTGAAATGCTTCCACACAGATATGACTAAGGAGTAATGACCTAGAAGTTCAATTGAATAATTCACAAACTGAGAACATTGTCTTTGAGAATTCAGTCTTAATGGGTGATGGAGTGGTTTTGTAGCTTATAGGGGTGGTTGGCGGTTCTTATGAGGTTTTCCTGCTATTAATTTTTTTTATGCCTCTGAGGCCATAGTGTAAATGGTACATGGAATTACTTTCTTCAGCACTCCCTCACCTTTCCAAAGTCACCAACATGGAACTTCATGTCTCAATTAGCCTAAACAGGGCTGGACTAGGATCTAATTCTTAAGAAAATTAACCTGCCGGTGGATGCATAGCCTTTTCCCTGTTTTTTATGTGCAGGGATTTGGGGGGGGTTGCTGTTTGTTTTTTAACTTTTGATCTTTATTTAATACAAGCAAGTACATATAACATCAGAAATATAGCTTAACTGGTACATGTGATAAAACTTACATAACAAACAATGTAGACATGATATTAAGAAGAGGAGGAGTTTGGATTTATACCCCGCCCTTCACTCAGAGTCTCAGAGCGGCTTACAAACTCCTTTCCGTACCCCTCCCCACAACAGACACCCTGTGAGGTGGGTGGGGCTGAGAGAACTCTGACACAAACTGCTCTTTTTCAAGGACAGCTGTGCCAGAGCTTGTGACTGACCCAAGGTCACATCAGCAGGTGCAAGTGGAAGTGAGCCCCAACTAGCAGTCTGAAACAATGGAGACCAAATAGGTGTCAACAGGACTAGCTATGTTAGATTTGAATTTAAACGTTAAACAGTAACAGTAAATATATCTCACTTTTATTTCAGTATCTATGAGAAACTGATCCAATTTTGTGCAATTGATGAACTTGGCACAAATTATCCCAAGGTAAGTAGAACAAAAGTATCTGGGGGGGGGGGGATTAGGTGAAATTCACACCTACTCAGCTCCCTTCCCATTTCTCATTTTCTTTGTGAAAACAAGCTACTGCATCTAGATTGGTATATGAAATCTGCTAGATCAGAGTAATTTGTTCTCTGGGTCCCAAAGTGCAAGAAATTGCACTGTTTGGGAAGGGAATATTCTCCTTTTATAACTGTGAGTGCATCTCCCTCATGCTTATAGGGAACTTGAAACCACTCGAAACCAGACAAAGAGTCCAAAGCACAGGACCTCATCAAGAGTTTTAAGAGATGGAATTTAAGACATCTACCAATCTCCCTGCCCTTCTTGTCCAGTAACATATTTCTTGGCAGAATATTCAGATTCTATTTTCCAAGATAATAAGCTTTTGTGTGTTGATCTTTTTATTTGTTTTTAAGCTGGATTTTTAAAATCTGTTATTAATTGAGATCCTTTATCTAACAGGACTTTGCCTTTTCCTTCTCTTAGGATATGTTTGATCCTCATGGGTGGTCTGAGGATTCCTATTACGAGGCACTAGGTATTAAAGATTAGTGTTTTTTTTAAATACCCTTTAGTATTAATAAATTATGGTGGAGCTGTTTTGTTTACCTTCATTCCATTAACCTTCAGTTTTTATGAGATATAATTAACAGCATGCTGGCTATTCTTCAAGGAATGTACTTTTTAATGGAACAATATGCATTTGGGAAGTAGCATACTGAGACTCAACATAAATCAGGAGATTTATGATCTTCTGATCTGGGAGGCAGTTGTGGGGATTCTTCTTGTTTAACTTACTGGGAATGCTTTCCCCTTTTTTGATTCTCTTTTCAGCAAAAGCACAGAAAATTGAAATGGACAAGTTGGAAAAAGCCAAGAAGGAGCGAACAAAGGTATAAAATATTGTAGAATTACTTTTTGATGCTTCAGTCTAACTCAAGTGTTTAATTTTTCTTTCATGAGCCCAATATTAAGTCAGATTGATCAAATTAGGTATTGTCCATTTTATGTAGCAGTTAGATTGCCAGTACTAGTGAGCTAGAGCACAGTCTGTTTTGAGACTTCAAATAACATAGATTTGGTGGAGACATGTCTGCTCTTTTTCTCCCCATAATCTATCACTTCCCCATCATGTTTTAGGTGCTTTGAAAACATTTTGTTAAGACATTAAGAACCTCTTGCAACCCCATAGTCTAGAGTAGAGGTGTGCATTCGGATGTACCCGAGCCAAAAATATACCTGAAAAATAATGGAGGAGGGGGGTTTCTGGGTATATTTTGGCATCCCAAATGTATCTGGGTTTTCTCAGGAAAACTGGGGGGGAAAGTAACGAGAAAACTCTGGATATGTTTGGGAATTAGCGGTAGATCCAAAAACACCGGATAATCGGGAGCAATCT